TTCAGGATAAACTTTAGTTCATCTGATATAAGAATGGCTACCCAAGCTTTCTCTTGAGGACTATTTGAGTGGTACATGGTTCTCCAACCTTTTATTTTCAGGCTGTAGGTGTCCTTATGTCTAAAATGAGTCTCTTGTAGACAGCAAATAGATGGGTCTTGCTTTTTCATCCAGCCTGAAACCCTGCGCCTTTTGCTGGGGTCATTAAGCCCATTCACGTTCAGAGTTACTATCGAAAGATATGAATTTAGTGTCATCATGATACCAATTCAGTGATAGTTTATTAAAAAAAACCAGTGTCCCAGTTTTTCATTGCTAGCCTAAAGAAATATAATAATATTTTTTGTACATTTACCTTGTATCCTGCAACTTTGTTAAATTCACTTATTTGATTTGGAGGCAGGTTTTTTTTTTCTTGTTGTTAAATTAGCTAGGATTTTCTACATATATAGTCATGTTTTCTGCAAATACCAGATTTATTCCTTCCTTGAAATTCGTTATCGTTTTTATATCTTTTTCTTGTATTATTGTTATGGTAGAACCTCCAGTAAAATGTTGAATAGATGTATTGAAGTAGAGGTACTTGCCTTGTTTCTAATTTTAGGGGAAGTATTTAGTCTTGCAGCATTAAACCTTATTTTCATAGATCCCTTCTATTCCTAATTTGTTCAGAGCTTTTATGTTGAGTGGGTAGTGAATTATGTCAAGTGCTTTTTCTGGAACTGTTGAAATAATCATGTTTTTTCTTTTTCATTCTATTAATACAGTGAGTTACATTAATTGGTTTCAAATGTTAAACCAAGCATGCAATCCTGACTAAACCACACTTGGTCATACTGTAATATCTTCTTTATATATTGCTGGATTTAGATTGATAATTTTTAAGGTTTTTATTTTTTGCATCTATGTTCATGAAGAATAGTTTTCTTTCTTGGTCAGATTATGGTATCAGGGTAATGCTAGCCTCATTAGGTAAATTGGGAATTATCCCCCTCTCATCTCTTTCTGTAAGAATTTGTGAAAAGTTGGTACTATTTCTTCTTTACGTATTTGATAGATTTTTTCAGAGCCTGGCAGTTTATTCTTGAGAAGGATTTTAACTACAATTTTAGTTTATCTATAGCTATCCCTATAGCTGTGAAGAAATATTCTTCTTGTGTAAATTTTGATAATGTCTTTCTTCCAAGAAATTTACTTGAATAAACTTGTTCATTAGTATCCCATTTTAATCACTGTAATGTTTGTAGGATTTGTAGTAATGCCCCTGCTTTCATTTCTGATATTGGTGATTTTTGTCTACTGTTTTCTTCTGATCACTCTGACTATATAGGTTTACTATTTTTCTTGATCTTTTCAAAGAACTAGGTTTTAGTTTCATTGATTTTTTTCTGTACTTATGTTTATGAATTCCTTTCTTCTGCTTTTAAAAATCTCCTTTTCTTCATAGTTTCTTTTTTTAAAGATTTTATTTATTTATTAGAGAAAGAGCATGCACATTTGTATGCACAAGTGTGGGGAGGGCAGAAGCAGACTCCCCGCTGAGTAGGGAACCCCACTGGACTGGACTGGTGGGATCATGACCTGAGTTGAAGGCAGACACCTAAGGACTGAGCCACCCAGGTGCCCCTCTTCCTAGTTTCTTGAAGTGCATCTTAGAGCATTGACTTTAGATCAATGAAAGCATTTGATGCTATAAAGTTCCCTTTAGTATCACTTTAGCTGGAGCTCACAAGTGTCAGTAAACTTTGTTTCCACTTTCATTTAGTCTGGAATTTTTCAAATGCTTCTTGTGTATTTTTTCTTTTGTCTGTGGATTATTTAGAACAGAGTTGTTTAATTTACAAGCATTTTGAGAATTTTCCAGGTAGCTTTCTGTTGTTGATTTTTAGTTTAATTTCATGGTGTGTAGAGATTTACTTTGAACGATTTTGATCCTTTTAAATTTGTTGAGTCTTGTTTTATGACCCAGATTTCAGTCTATCTTGGTGAGTATTCTATGTGCATTTGAAAGGAATTTTGTATTCTGCTGTTGGAGGAAGAATGCTATATCAATATCAGTTAGGTCATGTTGGTTGATTATTACAAACTTGTGTATCCTTAGTAATCTCTATGTGTTCTATCAGTTATTGAGAAAGAAGTGTTAATTTCCAATAATAATTGTGGATTTCTCCTTAATATCTTCTACATGTATTATGAAGCTTTGTTACTAGGCATACAAATATTTACAGTTATTGGATCCTCTTTGACAAATTGACCTCTTTATCATTATGGACTGCCCCTATTTGTCCCTGGTAATATTTCTTGTTCAAAAAACACATACCTTGGGGCACCTGGGTGGCTCAGTGGTTGAGTGACTGCTTTTGGCTTGGGGCATGATCCCAGGTCCTGAGATCGAGTCCGGCATCAGGCTCCACACAGGGAGCCTGCTTCTCCCTCTGCCTTCTCTGCCTCTCTCTCTCTCTCTCTCTCTCTCTCGAATAACTAAATAAATCTTTAAAAACAAAACAAAAAATCCACATTCCTTGTTTTATATTGTGGCAGGCAAAGTGGCCCCCCAAAGATTTCCAGGCTTTAGGCTCTGGAACCTCTCTGACTGTTAAGTTACATGGTAAGGGGGACTTTGCAGAAGTATCTAAGGTTGTAATATTTGTTTCTATTGTTTCCATGACAGATTACCACAGATTTGGTGTCTTAAAACTACACAGAACTTATTATCTCACATTTCTGTGGTTCAGAAGTATAGGTAGAGCAGTGCTAAGTTGGATTTTTTTGCTTAGAGTTTCACAAGGCCAAAATCAGAGTGTTGGCAGAGTGTTGGCAGAGTGTTGGCTGCATTCCTTTCTGGGGCTCTGGGGATTAATCTGCTTCCAGACTCTTTTGGGTTGTTGTCAGAATTTAGTTTCTTCCAGTTATAGGGCTAAGAACCGGTTCATTTTTCTTGCTGGATCAGCAGGAATCATTCTCAACCTCTAGAATCTGCCTGCATTTATTGGCTCATGGCTCCCTTCCTCCACCTTCAAAGCCAGCAAAGGCAGGTTGAATCCTTCTCATGTTTAGAATTTTTCTGACTTCCCCTTCTGCCTCCTCTCCTGCTACCTCTCTCTGACTCCTCACTCGTAGGCCTCCCTTTTCTGCTTTTAAGGATTCATATGATTACATTGGGCTCACCTGGATAATCTGGGCTAATCTCCCTATTTTAATACCACCTGATTAGTAACCTTAATTTTATCTACAAAGTCTTTTCGTGGTTGTACCTAGATTAGTGTTTGATTGAATAAGCAGAGGACAGGAATCTTGGGGAACATCTTTAGCATTCTGCCTACTGCAGTTATGGACTTGATGATAGGAATAGTAGCCTGGATTATCCAGGTGGACCCTGTCTAATCACATGCGCTCTTAAGCAGAGAACTGTCGTTGGAAGCAGGAGCGATATGGCAGAAGGAGAAGCCAGAAGAATTTTAAGCGTGAGAAAGATTCTCATTGTATGCTGTTGCTTGCTTTGAGATGTGAAGGCTTATACGCAGGGACCAGAGAGACCTAGGGGACCCAAGGGCAGCCCCAGCTGACAGCCAGTGAGGAAACTGCGATCTCAGTCCCACGGCCACAGGAAACCAAATTGCCAGCAACCTGAGTGAACTTGGAAGCAGATTATTCCCAGAATCCCTTGGTAAGAGCCCAGCCAGCTGACATCTTGATTTCAGCCTCATAAGCATGTGAACAGCTAAACCAACCAAGCCTTTCTGGACTTCTGACATATATAGCCGTGAGATAATACATTTGTATTGTTTTAACCTGCCACATTTGCGGTGGTTTGTTAGAGCAACACTAGAAGACTAGAACAGATATTATGAGCTTTCTTTTGGTTAGTGCTTTCTTGGAATAACTTTTTCTGTCCTTTTAGTTTTAGTCTGTGATTTTATAGGTAGATGAAGTGGTTTTCTTACAGGTAGCATATAGTTGTCCTGCCTTTTAATCTAATCTGATAATCTGTCTTTTAACTGGTAAACCATTTACATTTCAAGTAATCATCAGTAGGGTTGGGAGTTAAGTACTTTCTTGCTGCATCCTGGGAACTGCCTCTAGGCAATAAGCTGGAGCCGTAATAAAGTTTACCGCCTTTATTTTCTTCCTTCCTCCCTTCCTTCTTGTCATCACAGTCCTTTGCTGGACCAGCCTTTGTTGTCCAGTATCTGAAAGCTCTTGTTTCATAAATTTTGTCCAGTTTATTATTTAAGGTGAGAAGAAAAACCCCATGCCCCTTACTTTGTGAAAGCTAGAACTAGAATTCCTCAACAGTGTAATTTCTAATTGATATTTCAAGGACATCCTCATCCCCTTTTATGGGAAATGTGTGTGTGTGTGTGTGTGTGTGTTTGTGATCTGTTCAATCACAGAAAGTATGATACATGTACTAAAATGTGACTATATCTGAACACGGCAGATTAAAAGTGCCATACCCTTTTAAAAATAGAATCCAGTGATGAGTCGGTGACAAAACTTGACCATCTCCTAACATGTCAGCCTTTTTCAGCCTCCATGTCTTGGTATGTCTGGTTCCTTCTGTTCGCAATGCTTCCTCATCTCACGGCCTGTCTTGCCCAGCAGCTCCCCACATACCTTCTGGAACCCGCTCCAGGGGCACCACTTCTCTGCCTCCTGGTGCCCCCAGACGGAAGGAAGCCAGGTGTGGTCTTTTAGGATCCCTCACACTGCACCCGAGCAGTGTTCCAGCACACCACAGGCCCTACTGTACTGCTCTGTTTTGGTGTAGACCACCCCACCCACCCACCAGGAAGCCCTGGGAAGCAGGGACCTTATTTTGGTTCTTCTGTGTACTTCCCAGCCCCCTAACCCAGTGCACCTACTACAGGGAACCTTCCAGTACATGATTGTTGAACTAGCGACTCCATGCGTGCTCACAAATACTGCTGTCAGTACTCTCCCTTCGGTGTCATATTTGTAAAAGTGAGTCTTCATTAATCATTTTACTTTTCTCCTAGTAAATTCCTCATCTACGCCTGTCTCCTGCTATTCTCTGTCCTGCTGGCCCTCCGTCTGGATGGCATCATTCAGTGGAGCTACTGGGCTGTCTTCGCTCCGATATGGCTGTGGAAGCTGATGGTCATTGTGGGAGCCTCAGTTGGGACTGGAGTCTGGGCACGGAATCCCCAATATCGGTAATGCTGCTTTATGAAACCTATCAGTCTCTACCCTCAGGGAGCAATATCTTGTTTTTCACTTTTGATTAACTGAGGTCTATTTTTCTTTGCCTATCTGGGGTTTTATAAAAACTATAATATAGGCAAACTGAGTTCTGTTCTAGTTTTAAAAAAATTAGGTGTTTGATATGCATTTTTAAATAAAAGCAGTGTTGTTTGGGGTGCTTAAGATCCTAGCCAGCCCAAAAAAGCCAATGTAATCTAAAATGCATCCAAAATATCGAACTGTTATACTATGCTAGACCAGAAAGTATAAAACTACCATGTTTGCAGGAGCAGGTCTATAAAACAAAGGCCTGGTTTGGTCATGAGGGCTACATCTGTTTCCAGTTCAGTCCTAGAACTGAGGTTCCCCTTGTCCCAGGCTCCTAGTCCTGGGGTTTTAGGACTGTTAGCAAGGGGTGTTGGGGGGTAGCTTGGCCAGGAAACAGTGAGCCCCTGAGACAGGGAGATGAGGCCTAGATGCTGTGAAGGAGGGCAGAGCCTTTGGGAGCCGGGCAGAGGCCTGAGCCTTTCTTTCCTTTTGGCTGCCTCAGCTTGTTCAAGGTCCTGGAGTCAGCTCAGCCATGGGGTATAGCCTGGTGCTGCTGGGACGCAAAGAGTCTCTTCTCCCTCGCAGAGACTGGCACTCCAGAAAGGGAAAAGAAGGGCTTGAGGGGCTGTTCTCCACCTTCCCTGGGAAGATGGGGAGGGAGGGAATGCCCGGTGGATGGGTGGGACATGTGCGCTGGTCCTGGGAGAAAAGTGCAGCTGTTTAAACCTTGGTTAACTTTAAAAATAAGAGTTAGCTCATGTAACATACATTACCACGTATGTATCTGAGAACTTTAAAATAGACATACAAGAAGCCATGGCAGATGGGGGACATTTGTATGTAAGCTGTTTTAAAGTCCTTAGATTTCCTTTTCTTTTCTTTTCTTTTCTTTTCTTTTCTTTTCTTTTCTTTTCTTTTCTTTTCTTTCTCTTTTCTTTTCTTCTTTCTTTCTTTCTCTTTCTTTCTTTCTTTCTTTCTTTCTTTCTTTCTTTCTTTCGAGATTACCTGTGCAGTTTGCAAATCTTTTCTTTTTTATGAGATATTTTCAGATATCTAATGTTTACAACTCGAAGAATGAAAATTTTACTTTTTTATTTATTTAAAAGATTTTATTGGGCAGCCCTAGTGGCTCAGCGGTTTAGCGCCGCCTACAGCCTGGGGTGTGATCTTGGAGATCAGGGATCCAGTCCCACGTCAGGTTCCCTGCATGGAGCCTGCTTCTCCCTCTGCCTGTGTCCCAGCCTCTCTCTCTCTCTCTCTCTCTCTCTCTCTCTCTCAATAAATAAATAAATAAATAAATAAATAAATAAATAAATAAATAAATAAGATTTAAAAACTGTTTTAAATAAAAAAAATAAATAAAAGATTTTATTTATTCATGAAAGAGAGAGAGAGAAAGAGAGAGAGAGAGAGAGAGAGAGAGACAGGCAGATGGAGAAGCAGGCTCCATGCAGGGAGCCTGACGTGGGACTTGATCCCGGGTCTCCAGGATCACGCCCTGGGCTGAAGGCGGTGCTAAACCGCTGAGCTACCTGGGCTGCCCAAGAATGAAAATTTAAGTAAATATTTCAGATTCTGCTAATTGATATTGAGAAGCTATTTGAGCCTTTCCCTGTTGGTTTAATTGAAGATTTTTGATTGAGGAAAGGAATTGTATGTGTGTAGTTGAACATAGTCAGTGTGCAGGAATGGTCATTCCAGTGTTAACATTATCCAGTGGAATGTTGCTGGGTCCTGTACAAGTGACCACTGGCTTCATTTTCTCTGTGTCCTAAGCTCAGGTGTATTTATCACCAAGTACATACTTCATAAATGTTTATTTGTATTTTGAATGAAATACAGTGGGCTTTCCAAATGCATCTTTAAGCATTATCCTGATTAGCAGCCTAATTATTTTTCAATTGTTAATCTGATAAGTTCCTGCCTGATACTTAAACAGCTAATTAAACTGATTCTGCTTAGAAGCAGTTTTAACTGCTCTTCTTTCTCTTTCATCTGCAGGTGTTAATTCATCCTAATGGACTAGAAAGGAAAATATAAAAAAAGACGTTCATAGTTTTATTGGCATTTTTGAATAGTACTTTACAATAGTTACTGTATTTTCTTGAACTATAACCCACACATTCATACAGCTAGTAATTTTTATAGTATTGCGTGAAATGTGATCTGCATGGTTTTTAATTCATTGAGAGGTGAGGATCATGAGATTAAGAGATATTTGTCCATTTTTAGTAGTGGAAGCAATCAGCTTGAATGATATTGGAAGTAGTCAAATTTAAAGTCATGAACAAAAGCATCGATGTTTCCCATCAGGGAAGTAATAACTCTGGCTTTATAGTTATCGTTCATAGTATCGAACGATACTATGTTGGTGTCTGCCCAGACAGCCTATCTGTTTTGGAGATTCTGAACTGAGCATTTTTCTTCTTCTTCTTCTACCGTCCCTTTTTAGAGCAGAAGGAGAAACATGTGTGGAGTTTAAGGCCATGTTAATTGCAGTGGGCATCCACTTGCTGCTCTTGCTGTTTGAGGTCCTGGTCTGTGATCGGATCGAGAGAGGAAGCCACTTCTGGCTGCTGGTCTTCATGCCGCTGTTCTTTGTGTCCCCCGTGTCCGTTGCAGCTTGCGTCTGGGGCTTTCGACATGACAGGTCGCTGGAGGTGAGATTTCATCTATTTAAGGATGTTATAAAAAGTAAAATCTTTTGGTCAGCTAATGTAATGTAGATGTCTTGCCCTTTGTCGGAAAGCTTTACCTCTAGATTGTGGTATATAAGGAAACTAAAAATGGTGAAAATAATTGTGTTTCTCTTTCTCAAAGAGTTTCTTTCAGAACTCGGGCTTTTCACCCAGCCCCTCAGGCTTCATCCACCTTCGCAGCTTTCCCTAGCCAGCTGTGTTAGTTAGGCTTCTCCTGAGATAGGACCAGTAGAAGAGGTGGGGAAAGGGAGAAGGGAAGGAGGAAGGAAGAGAGGGAAAGGGAGAGAGAGAATGATTCAGGTTAAGGAGCTGGCTTGTGGACTTAGAGGGGGCTGACAGGTCTGAAATTTGGGCGGACCAGCAGGTAGAAGATGCAGCCTGAATTTCTGCTGCTGTCTTGCGACAGAATTTCTTCCTCTCCAGGAAGCCCCCTCTCCCCTTCTGCTGCCTCTGAGCATTTACTCCCAAGCTCATCCACGCTCTGTCTGCTAACTGTGGGCTCTCTCATCTGAAAGAGAAAACTGAATGACAGCAGCGAAAGCTTCTCTGTCATCTGTTTGGCTCCTGTGCCTTTCTCTTCATTCACAGAAAGGCTTCCTACAACAGAGCCTTTCTGACCCCGAGCTCCCTGCGCAGCCTCATACTCCCCAAAACCGACCACAGCCAGTGAGCCCTTTCAGCTCTTTTTTTCTGGCCACCAGCCACGCAGCAGCTCCTGCCACTCATGGGCCTTTGACTACACTGGCCGCCTCTGCTTTGGCTCCATTCTCACCACTAAGGAGCCTAAGCTTGGCTGTTTTCTGTCCTCACTGTGCATACTTCCTCGGGGGGGGGGGTGGTCTTGCTTACACTTCCTGTCTCCACTGCCACTTATGCGCTGTCGCCTCCAGCATTCCCACTGCTGAACTCACATTTCCACGTGAGCTCCAGACTCCTTTTCCTTTTTTTTTTTTTTTAAATTTTTATTTATTTATGATAGTCACAGAGAGAGAGAGAGAGAGAGAGAGAGAGAGAGAGAGAGAGGCCGAGACACAGGCAGAGGGAGAAGCAGGCTCCATGCACCGGGAGCCCGACGTGGGATTCGATCCCAGGTCTCCAGGATCGCGCCCTGGGCCAAAGGCAGGCGCCAAACCGCTGCGCCACCCAGGGATCCCACCAGACTCCTTTTCCAACCTCACCTGAATCTCTACTCCCTGTGCTGGCTAAAGGCAGCATTTTCACCCAGTCATCCTTACTGTTCTGCTTTATGCCCATGTTGCTTTGCATGTTTTCTCTGTTACCTGAGCAGAAGAAGCAAAGCCAAGCTGCAAAAATGATTTGCAAAAACTTAACATTAAACAAAATCATTGGGATCACACATTCCAGATATTTTCTATTTGTTTTTCTAAAGTTATTTTTTATTCATTCATTCGTGAGTGACACACACAGAGAGAGAGGCAGAGATATAGGCAGAGGGAGAAGCAGGCTTCCCACAGGAAACCCTATGTGGGACTCGATCCTGGGACTCCAGGATCATGCCCTGAGCCAAAGGCAGACACTCAACCACTGAGCTACCCAGGTGTCCCAGATATTCTCTATTTGGCTCAACGTTTCTTGGTGGGAGAGGGACATGTGCTGTTGGCCTTTTGGAGAGGAAATGTTTTGTTGAATGGGACTGTCTAATGCATGGCAGGATACCTCTGTCTGCCCTCTTTCCACTAAATGTTGGTGGAGAGGCTCTTGCCACAAGTGTGTATGAGACCCAGGGGCACCCCTGCTCAGTTCCTAGCCTTCGGGGCAGGGGCAGTGTCACTCAGGTCGAAAAGCACCGAGGGGACCATCCAAATATAGTTGGATAGGAACTGAGGAAGCAGTTAAGGTACATGTTCAAATTTGGAACTTGGTTTTTCAGAAAGTAAAAGCATATACAAGGGCTAGGACTGCATTGGGCATGAAACCATATTTTCCCAATGCAGAGTTACAAAAAGTGAGTCATTCATATAATCCCCCTTGGCATTCTGGCCTGGAAGAAGAAACACTATGTCAGGAGTTGAGCTCCCTTCTGGTGCTTGTGTCCGGGGAGAAGAGTCCCACATTTACTCAGGGGTGACGGGATAGGCTTGCACAGAGACATGAAGGAACTGTGGGCTTTGCCAGGGTGCACCCTATGCAGGTGTGGAAGGGGGTGATATTTCCCAGAGGGACTCTACAAAGATGTAGGGGCAGGAGAAAGTGTCACGCACAGTGAGCTCTTGTGACCCCAAGATGACTGGAGCACAGTTTGGCAAGACACAGAGACTTCTAGAGATAGATGTTGATGACAATCGCATAACAGTATGAAGGTACTTAGTGACGCTGAGCTATATAGCTACAGATAGCTAAGACAGTAAGTTTTCCATTGTATGTATTTTACCACACAGTTTAAAAAAATTGCCTGGAGCATGAAGTGGAAAGGAGAGAGTGGTGGGAGCTGGGGGAGAGGAAGGATGTAGAGAGGAACTGGGCTGAAGGGAGGCCAGCTCCTCAGTCCTCAGAGCATGCACTGAGTCGCCCCAGGCCTCCATAGTGAGCTCTCAGGGCACCATGGGATATTGGCCATTTTTGAGGGGGAAGCAACGTGATACCAACCTGCTGTGGGGATATGATATGAACTACTACCTCCAAGTCGTTTACAGTTTTATTATTAGGTTACCCTACATTAGTTTTGATGATATTGTAGAAGAGGCGGAGTTGTTGGTAGTTACTGTGAGGGGAGGGTAGTACTTACTATGTAAGAATTTGTCTGGAGAACAGCTAATGAGGATGGCAGTGCCTTAAGAAATGATACAGTACCAGCAGGCACATGTATCCTCTTAGGAATCAGTTGTGGTTATTTAGGAATGAAATAAAAATCATTTTTCCTTTTGATTTATATGACTTTTATTATTTTTTTAGACGGCTACCAGTGATATAAATGTGAAGTTTAGATTTAATTACTTAATCCAATGGAACTTGTTAAGGATTTCTTTTAGCCCAGAGGCCTAGGAAAGAATGGCTCCCTCACTGAATGCTCTGTGAACTGACAACTTTGGGAAAACTCTAGGCCAGATGAGTCAGCTTCCTGTGATTTTCATTTTGCAGGCAGTGGCAGGAACAGAGAGCCTTCCAGACTGGGAGGCTAGTGGGGGGGGGGGAGGCATTGGAGGCATTTGGGGGCGCTGGTGAGGAGAGAGGCCTGACAAGGCAGTAGCTGTTGGGGTGGTAGAGAGGACAGGACGTGGTAACAGCTTTCAGGAGTGGGAAGAGGAATACAGGGTGCTTGCTGGTGGTGTGGCTCAGGTGATTGGGCTGCCATGGTGCCTTACAGCAAGGTGGGAGGCTCTGGAAGGGAGTGGGACTCTCTGGAAGGGAGTGGGACAGGGTAAAGGTGGAGCAGTTAATGGACTCAGTCTGAGGCTGGCTCTGACTACGGCATCTCTATGAGAGCTGGGCCTGGGATGCAGCAGGAAGGCTGTGTCAGAGGCAGCTGGTAGCAATAGCCAGCAGGCAGTCACACCAGTCAGGGCCATGGACAGCAGGCTGAGCGAGTGAACGCACACAGGTTTGTGGCTGTGTCTCTCACAGAGACGGAAGACTGGGTTGAAGGTTCTGGGGGGCATCAGGGTTCAAGGAGAGGAGGGTACTGAAAAAGAGCTACCTAGAGCTTCAGGAGGAGGGCGAAACCGTGCAGGGTTCATAGAGATGCCACACATGTGCCCCGTAGGATGATCTGGCATTGGGAACCTTGATGCAGCAGTTGCCAGTGGTCAGGGCTGGAGGCTGGGCCACAGTGCTGAGAGCTCAGAATGGCAAGGGAGGCCATGGGGGCCTGAGCACCCATGATGTCTCACAAAGCCAAGTGCTAGCACTGGGAGGGATACAAGCTTGAGGGAGGGATGGGCTCATTTGGTCTTGGGGTTCTTTTGTGTTTAAAGGGACTGAGCTGAATTTGTTTCTGTGCTTCTGGGAGGGATCAGTTGAAAAGGCAGGATTAAAGATGAGGTAAAGAATTGATGTCCTGATGTGACAGGCTCCTCAAGGAGCCAGAAAGGAAGGGGTGGGGTGCAGAGCTGAGCCCTGGGTACGAGAAGAAAGTACAGGTATGGAATAGAGATTTATGGGTGGGGGCAGGAAGGATGCTTGGAGTGCCTGCCACAGATTGCCTCTATTCAACGAACCTGGAAACAAGATGATTGTAGAGAGCACATAAAGGGCAGGGCAGCCAGTAAGCAGAGGGCACGAGGCAGGAGACTTGGGGTGGGGGACAGGTTTCTCTTTGCTGCTGCATTGCTTCACTCCTTTGATGCTGAAGATCAAGAGGTCCCAGTATAACTTAATAAAGCTTTTACCATATTATAATTTGCATTGCCTTTTAGTGTGTTAACCAAATAATTGCAGTATTGAATGCAACTTTTACTTTGTTTAACCGATTCTTCTCTTCATTTTTAGTTAGAAATACTGTGTTCTGTCAACATCCTGCAGTTTATATTCATTGCCTTAAGACTGGACAAGATCATCCACTGGCCCTGGCTTGTATGTAACTTTTTAAATCCTTAAATAAACTTTTCTTTTTTTAATTATAAAAGTAATTTGTGTTCATTGTAGAAAACTTGGAAAAGACAGATGAGCTTAGGTAATAGAATGATAATCACCCGTAACCCACTGGGAGAGAGTATGGCTAGTGTTTGGGGTTTCCTGTGCTGGAGGTTATTGCTTTGTGAAGGTAGCTGAGCCTATGCTACGCACACGGTTTGGTGTGCTGCTCTCTTATCCTAATGCATCCGAAGCATTTTCCCATGGCAATAAAAGGTCTTTGTAAACATAAGTTTTAAAGTTTAATTGATGTAGTATTCTTCAAACGCATTTACCAAACCATCCCTTCCTTCCAAACACTGAAGTTGATACCAGTGTGATTATAAATCACGATAAAACATATATTTTTGTGCCTAAAAGTCTTTGCCTAATTTTTTTCATTGTTTTCTTAGGAAAGACTCCAGAGACCATATTACTGGGCTGAGGGTGGGAACTTTTTGAGGTTTTAAATACAAACTACACTGTCAACTTGCTTGTCAAAAAAGTTGTGCCACTTTACGTTCCTGCCCGGGGCAAGGTCTAAGTCATGCTTGGAACCTGTTCCTTCAGTTTTTGGGTGTTTGGTTAAAACTGACTGCATAAATGGAGAGAAGGGCAGGTGGATAGGAGGATGGATCGGTCTAGATACAAACATATGTAATTATATATACATGTAAGCTACAAATTAGAGAATCCAGTAGGACTTGGACTTCCAACTATGAATGCCTAGAAAGCAGGTGAGAACTGAGGTGGAAGATGTGCCTCTGGGAGATAAGGTCATATCAGTGTTGCTTGATGTGTACTTTTGCATATAAGACATTTTCTGTTATGAACATGGTTTACCTTTTTAAAAAGTAACAAGTATACCAAAAAAAATATTCATTTGGTGACAGGGAAGAAAATAAGGGAACATAGTCATCTCCATAATGAATAAAGGCAAGACTCTTCACCTCTACCCAAAGTCTTTGATAAAGCAATTATGATTAAAAAGTTCAGGTACCTGTCCTACATCCTTAGGGTGGTGTATCTAGAGCATGGTAATTGGGTTCAGGATTTTCTGTTGTGATGTGGAGGAAACAAATATCAGACAAACTTTTAGTGTAAGGTGCAATCAGAAAAAAAAAAGATTAAGAATTATGAATGTTTTCTGTAGGTGAGTGAAGAGATTTTTTCCAGCCCCAGTTTTGGGCAAGGTCCCAGCAGATGGAACAGTCTGAGTGCATGCTTCTTGCAGTGACAAAGAGAGACCATGGGAGGCCACTGCGCTCCCTAGCATTCCACCTGAAGGGGGCCCCCATGTGAGTGTGGCTAAGTGAGGAGGGGCATAGGAAAGAGACTCCATAGATTTTATAGCAAAATGTACCATCAGGAACTCCAAGCTACTAGAGAGTATTAAAAACCACACAGCAATTCAAGTCCTAGGTGTAAAAACAAAATGGAAAGCCAAAAAAGTGTCTGAAGAAAACATAGGAGAAAACCTTTGGGGCCTGGAGTTTGATGAGGAGTCCCTAAAAGTGACACTAACAGTAAGGTCCATAAGAGAAGGTCAGAATGGAGATGAAATGAATGAAAAGACAGGCCACAGAGTAAGAAAAAAATATTCGCAAGGCACATGTCCAGCTGAGGACTTGTATCCAAAACATCTAAACTCTCAAAACTAAAAAACAAACAAACAAACAAAAAAACCTCATTTTATGATTGGCAAGAGACCTGAAAAGATAATTCACAAAGAGGATATACATGTGGCAAGTAAGCACACAAACAGAATATCCTTACCCAGTAGGGAAAGGCAAATAAAAACCAGGATGAGGTCCACAGTACAGTCATCAGAATGGCAAAGCTAAATAGCGTGGAGTGCAGGTGAGGGTGTGGAGTGCAGGGATGCTGGCACCTCGCTGCTGGGATTGCCGAATTGTAGAGGCACTCTGACACAGACTGGAGTGAACGTGATTTGGCAATGCCATTCCGGGGTATTTCCCCTAGAAAATGAAAATGTACAGCCATACAAAAACCCATGTGTTAGTGTTTGTAGCAGCTTTATTTGTGACAGCCAAAAGCGGGAAGGCACCCACATTTCCTTCCACGGGTGGCTGGACAAACAGGCAGTGGGTGCACCCATTCTATGGAATGCCACTTGGCAATAAAAAGAAACAGGCTGTCGTTATATGTAACAACGTGGAGGAACCTCACAGACGTTCTGTGGATTGAGAGAAGGCAGTCTCAGAAGGTGACACGCTGTGTGATGCTATGCACATCGTGCTCTTGAACAAACACAAGTGTAGTGATAGGGAGTGGATCAGTGGTTGCCAGGGGTTGGGGGTGGGGTGAGGGTAGGACACAGTGAGGGGGCAGCATGAGGGAGTCCTGTGGGGTGGAGAAGCTGTCCTGTGTCCTGCCTGGGGTTACACAGCTCTACACACGTATGTGTGAAAAGTCATAGGACTGTACACCAAAAGAAAACAATTGACCGTGTGATAACATAAGACAGAGGGATGACAGATCCAAGGACCAGCACAGGAGGGAGAATGATCTAACCGGGGAGCCTGGTGAGGCCCCTTGGGCTTCTCCTGTGGGCTCATGTGGAGGTGAAGCAAGGTGTTTCTGGTGCAGCAGCAGCAGACATGGGACCCGCCTGGGCGAGGGGTCAGGGACTGGGCGGCAGAGCGCTCTCAGCGTCACTGCACCTGTGAGCGGAGGGCAGCTGAAGTTCCCAGGGGCACGGGCCCCACAGTCTACCACCATGGCACCTCCAGCAGGATGGGCAAACAGCTGTGGAGAGGGTGTGCTGAGGGCGGCAGACTGCTCTGCTTCCCTTGCAGCAGAGCCAGGCGCAGGCTGAGTGAGAGCATATCTTAGAAGGGCAACCACCAGGCTCTTCTCCCCAAGTGTGGCCCATGGCAGAGCATGTCCTGGAGCAGGCGGCAGCCCTGAGCCAGTGTCCCCACAGTCCTGGGATGCTTGGCGGCCATCCTCACTCATGCTTGCACTGTCTTAACTGCAAGATGTCCGGCAGGGGGTTGGCTATGCCTCCCTTCAGGTACTGGGCACAAACTATAAAGATTTTTCTCTCTCCTCCTTCCCTCAGGTCGTGTGTGTCCCTCTCTGGATTCTCATGTCCTTTCTGTGCCTGGTGGTCCTCTATTACATTGTGTGGTCTGTCCTGTTCCTGCGTTCCATGGACGTGATTGCAGAACAGAGAAGGACACACATAACAATGGCACTGAGCTGGATGACCATCGTCGTGCCTCTCCTTACTTTTGAGGTAAGCTTTCGACAGTAGAACTTCTCAGGCCTTGGGTCCCACCCTGTCCTGTGACAGCACTCTGTGTACCTAGAAAGCACAGTAGATGGGGGTGGGGATGGAGGGCATGATGCCAAAATTAGAGCATCCTTTCTTTTGGGGGACTGGCAGTGAGAAGTGAGTCCTTGTGGCCGTGATGCATCAGTACGTGTGGATTTGTCTATATCTAGAAAGAGAGTTGGTTATTTTTCGTTAGCATTCTGTGCAGAATTATAGAATGGGCACCGTTGACTCCTCAGAACGATCACCAGGAGGAGCTTCCCATAACAGTCCTGCTGTTGGAAGCCTCCCAAGTATACAGATTCTGCTTGGTCCTGAAGGACATGAAAGTAGGTGTCATGCTACCCCACAAGATAGAGCGTATCTGTAGTCTTCTGTGGAGCTGACCTTACCCCTTGTGAGACCTGACAAGGGAGGGCTGGACTGGCCTTAGACATTGTCCGTCCTCAGATGCTTTATCAATAGGACCTCACCTGTTTCTCTTTCCTTAGATCCTGTTGGTTCACAAACTGGATGGCCACAACGCGTTCTCTTGTATCCCAATATTTGTCCCTCTTTGGCTCTCCTTGATCACTCTGATGGCAACCACCTTTGGACAGAAGGGAGGAAACCACTGTATGTACTCAGCACTTTGGAAGCCCTCGACCTGTGTGTCTCTGTGCATGTGTGCATGTGGCCCCATTCTATGAACAATGAGCCTGAGAGTCCCAGTTAGGGAGGTCACAGAGGAAATGTATGCCTGAGGAAGGCCTGGAATATTCTGAGGGAAGAGTGCGCTGTCAACCTTGCTTTCTCTGACCTGCACCATGCCCTTCCTATGGCACACTGTGCCATTTGAGGTAGGCCTCTCAGCCCTGTCCCCTCTGCTGCAACATGAGGATGAAGTTACCTGCTTTCCAGGGGCTCCTGAGGACTAGATAAAAATCCACATCACCCTCCAAACCCTGGGAGTCCACTCAGGTTCTGTGCCCCACCCTGCTCTCCCCAGGGACATTCCCGACATCACTGTGTCTTGTCAGTGGGGCCCTGCTTGCTCTCCCTTCTCTCCACCTGTGTGATGGGACACTCAGTTTTGAAGTGATCTTTGACAAGAGTCCTTTCCTCACTAGATCATAGGCTCCTTTGCAGGTAGCCCCAGAGCATGCCATTCTGGAAGCCAGAGGATGGTGGGGTTGCACTGGGAGCGCCAGCACTGAGTGGATGGTCCTGTGGTATAGGTAGCACGAACAAAGCCTCGGAGGAGCAGCTGTGAGGGGGCCCTGTGAGCTTGGGTTGCCGGCTGGCCTGGACCAGTGCCTGCCAGATGCTGACAAGTCCCTTTTTCCGGTGACATTCTCTGTCGTATGTGAGCATATCCCAGATAGGGAAGGCGAGAGGATGCTGACGTCCCAATGCCTCGGGAATGTGTCTGAGGCTCGCTAGAGCAGTCTTGACTGCTGGGACCCCCATCAGAGCACCCGGGAGGCCTGTGTCAGTGGACCACCCCACCTCCCCCACTTTCTGATCTCTAATGGTGTCGCAGTGGGCCAGCCCGGGAGCCCCACTTAGAGAGCTGCGAGCCACAGGCCCATCTTCTTGCCCTTCATGGGTATCCAGGCCTTGCTTAGTTGTCATTTCTAAGGCACCGGGAGAAAGGGTTACGTGGTCCAAGTAAAACTTCCTGTTCAGGGTAGCACAGCCACAGCAGATCCCATGGAGGCCAGTGTGGTAAGCAAGTGCATCCTTGTTTTTCAGGGTGGTTTGGGATTCGCAAGGATTTCTGTCAGTTTCTGCTTGAACTCTTCCCATTTTTGAGAGAATATGGGAACATCTCCTATGACCTCCACCATGAAGATAATGAGGAAACAGAAGAAACACCCGTTCCAGAACCTCCTAAGATTGCCCCGATGTTCCGTAAGAAGACCAGGGTGGTTATCACCCAGAGCCCTGGGAAATATGTCCTCCCACCTCCCAAATTAAATATTGAAATGCCAGATTAGATACCACTCCCGCGGGCAGAACGCCAGTGGACTGGGGCACACGCTCTCTTCTACCCTCCTCTGCGTCTTTGTTTACCCCACCCAGAACTGGAGCTGGAGCTGGGGCTCTGGGGACTTCCATCTCATGCCTTGTTTGCACTCAATGCCTACCAGTGACTCGCCATGATGGGACACACAAATGGCAGGTGACTGGCACATGAAGCCGGGCTGGGGTGGGGTGTGTGTCGGCGGCCGCGGGTGTGACGGAGGGAGCGCGAGGGACACGGAGAAAGCAACCCCCTCTGGGCAGGTGCCTCAGGAGCCAGCTTGGATCTCTTAGGGGTGGCTGATCAGGCCACAGGAGTTATTGGTTTTCAAAGTGCTAAAATTCCCATCAAAAGTGTTCTTTGAAAAGGTTTTTTTAAACCAGGCTGGCCTCAGTACGTAGCTTAGCGTCTGCTGTTGCAGAATAGTCAGTAGGAACCTAAATATTCCTTGAGGGCATCAAGCTCCAGTACCCACTGTCATTATTACTGTTTGTGTTCCTGCTGTGGAAGTAGTTGCTCTTCCAGTGAGGCTGACAGCAGTTTTTAATGGCCTCATTGGTGAGCCCTTTCTAATGGAGTGATTCCGAGCCTGTATAGTATTTATACAAATATTTTAGCATTGTAATATACCGTGTTAAATCCTAGTTCTGTACAGTATATTCTGTTAAAGTATTTTTTTACGAGCTTGTATTGGAGATATACGTGTTCTGTTGCAGAAGTAGAAGCTGCTGGCACACCTGTCCTACAAAGGGGGTGTCACCCCTTAATGGGACATCATCATTTCCCCCCTGAAATCCTCCACATACACAGTAGCTGCTACTGCCAGAACAGCCACAATAAGCAACAAATGGTTTATGCTTTTCCTACATTCTGGGAATATTCGTTTGTCAGAAAACTATCCAGCATGACCTGCAACTAGAGTGCTGGACTTGCGGAGACTGGGAAGAGCCACTGGATTGTGGAATTGGAAAGGTCTGAGGCCTTTTGTCTACTCCAAACAAAAAGCCTTCCGGATGCCCCAGGCTTTTAACTAAGAACACAGTCCTTCCGAGAGCTGCTGGGAGAGCCCTGAATGAGCAAAGAGGGACTCAGATCCTCCAGGCTGAGAGCCTCCTGCCTGAGAACAAGCAGCCATTTGTTACAGGAGGGAAAGGGGCACCGACCGTCTCACCCAGGAGAGGAGGGGAGGGTTTAATGCAGGGAGCTGCAGACGTGTCTCAGCCTGGCCCCACTGACGCCCAGCACCCCGGGTACCCCAGGGCCTGGGTCCCGACAGACTGCCGTCTCCGGGGGAGAGGGGGAGCATCTGGAGTGGCAAAGCCTTCCCTGCCTGGTGTGTGACAAAGGTGGCGTAGTCCACTAGTTTTGCTCCCTGCAGCTGTTCAATAAACCGATTCCTCCTTTTCCATGCTACCGTGTGCATCTTACTTTAGATGTGGTCCAGGACACGGGAACTCCCAGCCAGCGTGCACATGGCCTCGGGTGGCCCCGGGCGGCCATACATCTCTGATGAGTCCTCAGGTACAGCCTGAATGGACAGAGTGTAGAGGGAAAGATGGACACCCTGGAGACTCGACCTCTGGCTGGGGACCATGGAGCCACCTTGTTACAGCTGAGGAGCCTTCCTAGAGGATTCTCGAGGCTTGAGACAGTTTACCCTGAAATGGGCACTTTGGTGGTCCCGAGGCATCGCCTGGTGAGACTACAGGCTGAGAACCACTTACATTGCCATAAAATGCCCTGTGATTACTGGCTAGCTTGCCGGGGGGCAGTTGAGTGTCCCCTAATGCTCCTTCAGGAAGCCCCAACCCCACTCCCCCGTGGGCTTGTCTGCAATCCCAGGTCAGGTGGCTCTTGTCCTCATCAAAGGCGCTGGGGCTTTCAAGTCAGCGAATGAGGCCTAGGTGACAGCAGGTGCACAGCTTTCCTTTGGGGCTGCAACCCCCGGAGAGGGAGGCCCCGGGACACTTGGCTGAGAGCCCGGAGGCACCCAGAGCGGCCTTGCCGGTGCCCCAGGCCCTGCCATGACCTGGAGTTTCTGTCCCCCTTTCCATTTGGAACCTCAATTACAGTTCTACAGCAGCCCTCTCTTCAGGAAGGACTGCCCCCACCTGCTGAACAAGAGGAGAGTGGGCAAGAAGGCGGCCCAAAGGCAAGATGAAGACAAGGCGGAAGAGTTAGGAAGCCCAGCAGAGGTGGAGCCCGCCAGCAGGCCACCAGAGGAACTCCTGGCCCCCAGAGAGCACCAGCGGGAGCAGCAGCGGGAACAGCAGCGGGAGCCGGCAGGTGGCCCGGAGCAAGACCTTCCCACCACCCAGGTCAGGAGCGAGTCCGCCCCTCCCGCCATCCTCGGGCAGCAGCCAGGCACCCTCTGACCCTGGTGCTCCCCGTGGCCGAGCTGCTACCTCTGTGCCACTCATGTTTGCCCATTGTGGCTGCAGGGCCTGTTGCCCCCATGCCCCCCATACCTCCTTCCCCGGGCCCGTTCCCCTACTGCCCGGTGTGCCACTGTTTCCTGGGATACCTGCCACCTATGGCTGGGCGCCCAGACTGCCCCTACAGCTCTCCCTACCGCAGCTAGAGGGCTCGGACCGCGGGCGGGGCAATAAACTGGACGGTGACCGGGCAGTTGTCTGCTGAAGCCAGGTGCTCCCGGCCTCTGGCACGTTTCTTGCCAAGCAGCCGGGTGGCCAGAGCTCTGACTGCTGCCCTGGGTGAGAGGATGGATCGCAGTCCACCGCTGGCATGTGTGGGGCCCTGCATGCTCACTTAGGTACCCGAGGTCCCGCCTCTGTTCCAACAGAGGTGTGTGGAGGCGCTGGGCGGGCCCAAGAACCGGGCATCAGGGCCCAGGGCTAACCAGGGCCTTGTGCTCCTGCCCAGCAGGCCCATTTCCCTGTCGAGTGGGGGCCTGGGTCCCACAGGGCCTTCGCGTTCCCCACACCAGGATGTCAGGTCTCCATGGAGCGGAGGGCTCACAGGTGCCCTCCGGTCCCCAGCACCAAGATGCGGGTGGGGACAGTGTCCCCCAGAACCCTCAAGCGTTGCAGTGCAGGGGTGCTCGCTGGTACCCAGACGGTAGCACCTACATTTGACTTTTGCCCCAGCAACTGGACCTGGGAATCCCTCTCTCAAAACAGTTATAATCATACATTTAATTTTTTTAACGATTTTATTTATTTATTCTTGAGATACACTGAGAAAGAGGAGGCAGAGACACAGGCAGAGGGAGAAGCAGGCTACCTGCAGGGAGCCCGAAGTTGGACTCGATCCCAGGACACCGAGATCACTCCCCAAGCCAAATGCAGGCACCCAACCACTGAGCCTCCCAGGTGTCCTATTCCTCTGTTCCTTGCTAAGTTTCTGAGGCTCTTTTTTTTCCCAGTAGCAATAGGTTTTTATTGTATTTTCCCGGGGTGAGGAGAGGAGGGAAAAGGGTCAGCATGTGTGTTATAAGACACTAGCAGGTGGGAAAGGAAGTGCCCGCCCAGCAACATCACCCAGCAAATAAAGTCTCCCCAGAGCTGGAGGGTCTCCAGCCCCGTAGGGCCCAGGGTCCTGCAGTTCAGAGCTGAGGGGAAGGAAGCAGGCTCAGAGCAGGGAGCTACAGCTTTCCAGATGCACCCCACCCTGACCACCCCAAGAAATTAGAGATTTCACACAAAGCTTTGGTTTGTGGCAGTCCACAGGGAGTTACATGCGCCTGTCACCTGTTAAAGGGCCTTGCGGCCACGTTGACAGAAGCTTCTAGCACCTGCATAAAAGTTCCTGTGTGACCTGAGTATACCTTCAGCTCCCCTTTCTGGGTCTTCCGCACCTCCTGTGTACATGCAAGTCTCCCTTCGTTGCTTCTTCCCCTCTACCGTCAGACTGGAGACTAAAGCAGGTTCGCTCCATGCAATACAAGTGTATTAGTATGAGTCACACCCAGCAATGGTCTCCACCCAGGAGATGGGGAAGGAGGGAGGAAGTGTTCTTGCTTCTTCAGAGTGTGGGGCTTTTCTTGGCAGGGGGGATAGAAGAGGGGTAAGGAAGAACCAAGATTTAAGGACCCAAGACCTGGCCCAAAAAGGGAAAGCCATGCATGAAGTCCTACAAAACCCAGACAAATGGGGTCACGAGAGGGGGCTGCAACAGGGGAGACAGGGACCCAGGGGCAGACATGCACCCCGCAATGCGTTCCAGGGTATGTACCCCGTTTGAACACAAGTGAAGTAGGTTTGTGGCGATCTGGCCGCACGGTGAGGAAAACCTCCTTTTATCCTTTCGCTACCATGACCCTAATCCCTGCTGCAGCAGGACAGGACTCTGGCTCTGGGCGCCGCAAAGGAGCCGTGTCTTATGGTCTCTCTGGAAGCCAGGAAAAGCCCAAAATTGCAAAAGTTAAGACAATCAGCCTTTGCTTCCTACCCCCATCCCCGGGCAGCTCGACCTAGGTCCAGGGTTACTATCCATAACCTATCCTCACCAACTCATGTTTAAAACACACGTGCACACAGCCGCGCACACACACGGGCACACACACGCCCTGTTGTGCGGGGTCGGCCCGGCCCAACCCAGCAAAGCATGGGTCTGGTATGTAAAGTGAGGCCCGTGCCCCGGGCCTGGATCAGGAATCCCGGGTTACATGTCTGGACAACCCTCGACTCATCCCGGCCTCCCCCGGCACCTGTCTGCCGGTGGGGCCTCTCCTAACCCTGCTTCCTGTTCCAGCTCTTCCTGTTCAGACCAATTTCCCATCCTCCAGTGGGGGGAGGTCACGTCATGGCGCAACTGACTTAAGACCTGGCGTCTCCCGTGGAACACTGCAGGTCGAGGGGTTCAAGAGAACACTACAGCAGAAAAGCCAGCTCAATCGGCAAAAACGAGGTCATTGAGTAGGCTACGCACTCCACATACTCGTTCTCCCTGCTGAGAAAGCACAAAGCATTCCTGCCCTGCAGACCTGGAGCTGCTGCCAACTCATCCCTGGGGTTGCCCGTGTCCCTGAGAGCCCAGTGCAGGATCGAGGGCCTTTGATCAACATACACAAGACACAGAAGCAGAATATCTCTATTACACCAAAAGAGACAGCACGAGATCCGTCATTCGCACACAGCTAGTGCAGCTGGCATCCTGGGGAACGTGGGGCCCAAGTTGGGGTTGTGCAAGGGAGCAAAGACAGAAAATCCTCTAGGCCAGGATGGCGTGGCAGTGAGCTTAGGAGCAGGAGCTCTGTGGCTCTTCCCCCCTCAAGCCCCGTGGCGGTCGTCACAACCCACTGCTAGGGACAGCCCTCAGCGCCCCATCCCACGAGGGGGTTATGACACAAGATGGGGAAGGAGCCTGCGCTGCTGCCCCCGTGAGGCTCCCTCCCCACAGAGGACAGAGGTCCGTGGGGTGGGCCCACCAATCCGATTTCGGGCCTCATCTCTACACTCTGGCAGGGGAAGAATTATTCTTACATGTCCTTCCCTGAAAGGAAAACCACTTCCTGATCCAGGCCACTCTCAAAAGCCAGACACCTGGGGCTGGAGATTCAGATAAAGCCCACGGGCGGGGAGGTGCAAGGAGTTTTCTCCAGAACCCTCCCAAGCGTCTGCACAGAGCTTGGTTGGTGTTGCTTTGCCTCAACTCGTCCCCCTACCCGGCTGAGAGAGAAGGGGGTGATGCCAGGGGACCCTGGCCAGAGCTACACGGCAGAGCCAGCTGCCCCTGCCCACCCTGTCCCTAGTTCTCCAGTCTGCCTACTAGTGCTTCCTCCTCCAAACTTCCCGATTAGCATGGATTTGCCCGCCCCGCTGGGCCTCAGCACTGGGCCTGTGGGAGCCGCAGACCCATGGGTCTCCTATTCTTGGTCCTCCAGAAAGGTGGTTGGCCTTCCCGTGAGCCGGTGGCCTGCTGGACCTTCAGGGGTGTGAGGCCACCATGTGGACGACGCTCGGGCAAAGTGGCATGTCTCCGGCTAGGGGGCAGCTTGCATTCCCTGGCCTGGTGGCCAAGCTCGCGGCCCTGACCGCCAATGGTGGCTGCAGGCACCAGAGAAATCCGAGGCCAGATGCTGAGGTTCCTCACTTGGTCCATTCCCGGTGCTTCAGCTACATCAACGGCGGAGGTCGACCACAGCCCCGGCAGGCTGGAGCACTAAAGGGGCTTGGCCTGTGGGGATCGACGCCGGCTGGGGCTCGGGCTCTCGCTGGGGTGGGGGGGACAGCCGCGGGGTTTGGAGAGAACCTTCAGGAGGAAGGCCTCTGCGGGGAAGTGTGCACCAGCAGGTAAGTGTCAGGCCCCGCCAGCGTCTCGTCCATACCTCCGGCTCAAGGAGGTCAGTGGCGTGGTGACAGGTGCAGGGATGTACCCCAGGCAACCACCTTCGGCCCATCACAGGTCCTCAGAAATGATCGGGGGGCCATGTTGCTGGGATGGACCTC